TTGCTATACACCTGAAAGCTGGACAATGAATAATGGCCGAAAAAGAACTGATGCCTTTGAGGTATAGTGTTCGAGAAGAGCACTGAACATCCCATGGACAGCCAAGAGATCAAACAGATATGTCTGGAGATGGTGCGGCTGGAGTGCTCATTGGTGACAAAGAATGATGACAACATCCTTCAGGCATATTGCTAGGAGGGGCTTGGAGAAGGACATGATGCTTGGAAGGGTAGAGGGTTGGGGAAGGAGAGGAAGACCCTCAACCAGGGGGTTGATAAAGTGAGTGCTGCAATGGGCTCTAGGATATCAGGATGTGTGAGGATGGCACAGGATAGAACAGGGTTCAGATCTTTTATTACTAGGGTCACTATGAGTGGTATTCAACTTGACAACACCTAAAAACTCCAAAAATCAGACTATAGCATGTCTTGCCACTAACCAAATTTCCATGCCTCCAGTGGTGTGAATCTACCATTGGCTCCTCAGGAGAAAGGTGGGTAGTTTCCACTCATTAAGATTTGCAGCCTCAATAAAGTTATGGTTGAGAGTAACCATGAGTTGCATTTGACTCTACGGCAGTTAAGTTTGAGCTCCTCTGTAATATGTCAACAACATAATATGTATTAGTGTGATTTTATTTTCATTCATTGTTAAGGACCTATTGGGTGTCTTGATTCTGTGGACTAGTATATTAGTTATTTCTGGAAAATGTTCATTTATTATTTCTTCAAATACTTACTTATCCTCATTTTCTCTTTTTTTGGAAGCCTGATGAAATGTGCCATACAGTGCATTTTGATTATTAATATTTCTAAACTTTTTATTCTTTTTACTGCAGTTTGTCTTTCTGTGCTAAACTCTGATTAATTTCTACACTAGTCAGTTCATGAGTTCCCTCACCTCCAGTTGTACCAGTTGCCAAGTTTATGCACCTAGAAGTTTTCTTTAGCCCTTTTAGCAATGTGCTTGGTCATTTTTACGGTTCCCTACTCTCTCAGATTCCTTCTTTTCCTTCCTTAAATATAATTGAATTTTAAAATGCTCCATTTAAAAGCTGTGATCAAACAACATTGTGCTGCTGTATATGTTTCTGGTTTACTTTTGCTCAAAATGCTGTTTCTTATTTTCTTGTGTGTTGCTCACTTGGTTTTGGTGACATTTGTTTGTTTTTGGCCTACTTTTGACTGTTCATATTTTTCTGTCATGTCTCTGTGAGAACGTCTTTGGAGCCTTTGATGGAGGTAAGCTTCTCCAGATATTTCTTTTTGCTTCTGCCAGCTGCCTATGATCTCTATACATTTGGGACCAAATTAAGCTAAATTCTCAAAGTAAAGGTTCTGGATTTTTGTTTTAAGCCAGGAAGGTACATTCAAGCTGATAGCTTTGATGAAAGCAGGCTGATGGTTACTAATTCTTAGATGAGAATTTTATCTCCTCCCAGCATTTATTCAATGAATGTACTGTTCCTTGCATTCCTTGTTGTTATCCCCAGCTCACCACTGTATAGAGATCCCTGGGAGATCCCAACATTATCACAGCAAACTGTGGCTAGCACTGAGAATCATGGGAATTCCATACCCCTGATTGTGCTCATGTGTAATCTATACATGGACCAGGAAGCAGTCAAACAGAGTCAGGAAACACTGCATGGTTCAAAAACAAGAAAGGAGTGAGTTAGGGATGCAATGCATCTCTATACCATTTCCATGTATATGTGAAACAGATCATTCAGGAAGCTGGGCTTTATGAGGAAGAATGTGGCATTAGGATTGGAGGAAGACTCATCAACCACCTGCATTAAGCAGATGACACAACCTTGTTTGCCAAAAATAAGGAGGCCTTGAAGTATTTGCTGCAGAATATCAAGGACTGTAGGCTTCAATATTTATTGAAGCTCAAGATCAAGAGGACCAAGATTCTCACCACTGGGCCAATTGGCAGTGCTTTGATAGGTGGAAAGAGACTGAGTTTGTTAACAATTTCAGGATGCTCAGTTCTACCATCAGCACTCTTGGCATCAGCAGTCAGGAAATGAAAAGAAGAGTTGCATTGAAAAAAATCTCGTGTCAAGGACCTCTCAGAGTGCTAAAGAGCAATGATGGCTGCCTGGAGACTAAGGTGCACCTGAGGCAAGCCATGGTATTTGCAATTGCTTGCTATGCATCAGAGAACTGGACAATGACTAAGGAAGTCAGAAGAAGAATTAATGCCTTTGAGTCGTTGTCCTGGAGAAGAGTGTTGAACATTCCATGAACTGCCAAGAGCGGGAACAAGTTTGTCCTGAAAAGGGTGAAATCAAGTTGCCCCTTAGAAGCTCTGTCTCACATATTTTGGACATGTGGTCAGGAATGACCAGTCCTTGGAGAAGGACATCATGCTTAGAAGGGTGGAGGCATAGCACAAGAGGGAAGGACCCTGGATGAGATGGATTGACACAGTAACTAGGATAATGGGGTTTAGGTAGATCATAGCCAGTAAGACTGGTTCAGGATAGGACAAGGTTCTGAGCTCTTGTTCATAGGGTCGCTATGAGTTGCAGGTGACTCAACGGCACTGTTGTTATTACGTGCTGTAGAGTTGAAGCCAATTCTTAGTTGACCTACAAGTAAGTCTTCAGAGACAGTAAATCACATGAAAGGAGACTGTCCATTTTCCCCTGTGGAATCAAACCATGCGCCTTTGGGCTGGTAATGCAGTTCCTTACCTTGAGGCCACCAGAGCTCCCTATGGGGGGGTTCTCTAATAGCTCTAGTTTGGGAAGACCCTTGGCTTTATTTAGACTCTTGGGCCCTACATTGCTATGTAGCCAATTTTCATTCAAATAATCTACATGGCTGTATGTTTGTTTTACATACATAAAAATATGACTTTATTGTGTTTATGAAAAGTGGGGAAGGTGCTGTTGATAAAAGGATATAGAAAGCACACATTATATGCATAAAATATGATAAATACTTTAAGTTAACCAAATTGTACAGATTTGCCCAGAGAATGTTGACTTAACATTTTGCATTTCTCTCAAATTTGGTCTTCAATTAGTTTTTATTATTTTATTTTTGTGAGTGTTGTTAGGGTTGGGGTTATTGGGTTGATTTTTTAAATTTTTTGGTCTAAATTATCTTTACTTTTAAAACCAAGGTATTAATATATTTTAAAAAGTATGAGGGTAGGTGTGCCAGAGACAGTAAGATTGGCACAGGATAGAGCAGGGTTTGGGGCTGTTATATATAGGGTTGCTATGAGTTGCAGGAAACTCTATGGCACATATCAACAACGGCATCTAGAAATTTTAGTTTCTGAAGTGTTTTCACTGGAAAACAAAATACTACTCAGATACTGCTGCAGAAATTAATGTCTCAACTATTTCCTTCAATCATTTTAATTACAATCATTAACAAAATTGATGTTTGTCTCCTGTTATTCCAATTATACATAAATGAGACGACTTGATATTATATCACAATTCTTGGGTCTATGATTCTCTATTTTCTTTTGTTTATATCTCCACTTTACTTTTAGGTTTGACACTTGCAAAAATTTTATTAATCTATCTTCAAATTCATTGATTCCTTCTTCAGGTTTATTGTATCTGTTGATGAGCCCCAAAGAGAATTTATTCATTACAGTATCATAGTGATTCTTTTATATCTAGAGTTTGCAGTTGATTTTGTTTTATAGTGTCTCCTTCACTTATTTCTTAGGTGGCCCAGGTTGGGAGCTCTTTCTGCAGTCATGCTGCATGGCCGCTTCTCACCTACATGGAACTGTAGGTGTCACAGCAAAGGCTTTGTGTTGCTGTTCACAGTCTTGGTGCTGAACTGTTTGCCAAAAGCTGAAAGAAATATCCATCTCTGCCCTTTTCTCATACTCTTTTGACTGTTCACACTGTTTTGTGTCTTCTGGCCTCATCTCCCTTCAACACTTGCCTCTGTCATTCTAGGCATGGCCCCCTCCACCATCACTACCACTAATACGATTCTGGTCTTGCATGCATCACAATGAATCTATGTTATCTCAGGTAGCTCTAGGTAAGTATTTCTTCTGAGCTTGGAAATCTCCTGTGTTTCTGAGAGCTCTGTTGGTGTAGTCTGTAGGGCACTGTATTGCTAACTCAAAGGTAGCACCTCCCTGGTGGTTCAAATCTACCAGTGGCTCTTGTGGGAGAGAGAGGGACAAGTGTCTCCAGGGTGATCTACAGCCTTCCCAAACCCACTGCACTACTAGCTATGAGCTGAAAGAAGTTAGGATGCTATAGTTCAGGGTGACTCCTTGAGTGGAGAGTACTGAATTTATACTCTAATCCTGAGAAGTTAGTCAGTTTAGCTATGTCTCAACCTTGCTATCAATAAAAGGTGAATAAGCCTTTAACTCATGAAGATGTTGGAAATAGCTAAATAATAAATATAAAATGGCATTATCATTTGTCTAACAGCAAAACTTGGTCTTCAACTTTAATATGGAAATTAGATTATGCATACTTTATTTTTTCCCCCGGATTGCTGGGGTTTCCCCCTACTAGTTTAAAAAGACTGCATCCTATTTAAAGAAAGGAAATAATAGAAACATGTACAAATTAGAAAGTCAGATCCTTACACACATTTAATTAAGATCATATGACAGTTGTGTGACTCTTTTACTCCTTTGATAGAAAACATTAAACACAAACATTGATGTCATTGTATTTGATTTCATAAATACATAGAAAGCAGAGGCCTTCCAAAGATTTATTGAGTGTTTACTTTCCAAGCAGAAAGATTATTTTCTCAGGTGGTGTTAAAGAAATATCCCCACTGTGATTTCTACCATTTGGTGATTGCAAGTGGGCATGGGAATAATATCCTAGTTTAGAAACAGACAATTCAGAAAATGTCAAGACAGACGCCAATAGAAAGTCTGAAAGAGTTATGCTTTAAAGACACGTTTGAACACTGTTCTGTGAAGAAGAGACAGATGCAGCCATCCTCACTGGAAAGAAAGAGCATGTCTTCTTCTTACTCATGTTAGGACCTGGGCAGCATTTCTTCCATGTCCGCAACAACATAAGAGACAACAGCCCAAACAGCAGTGGCAACATTCATTTGTTTTGGATCCATGACTGTCATAGTGTCTCCATGAGAGTGATGGAAGAAGAAATATTTATACAGGTCGTCAAGCAGACTGGCGCCTGGAGAGAAAAGAGGAAGAATTCTTAGTATATATAGAACTTTTATAGATGCTGCTACTTTCTGTTAGGAAATCACCAGCATCCTCCCCACTTCAATCTTGCCTCATCTGCTGTGGCTAGTGTGGTGTGCTGTCGAGCCAGAACCGACCCAAAGCTGACCCTCTGGTGAGTTTTCAGAGTTAATTGCCTCGGAGGAGATTGTCTCTGTCTCCCAGAGTGCAGCTGATGGATTTGAACCATGTGCCTTCGGACTTACAATACAATTATCCAAGAATTACTTTCTTAGCGTCCCTTCCAAAAGCAAGTGGCTATGTGACGTCATCTTACTAGTAGGATATGGAGGGTGAGCTGTGGGAGAAGCCTTTACTTTCCTGACAGAAGAAATTAAGACTCTCCCAGTGCTGACTTCTATTGTTGATTAGAAATCTGGAGTTGTGTGAGGTCAAAAGCTCACACCCTGAAAAATGGCAGAATGAACAGACAAAAAGAGCTGGGATTAAGAAATACTGCCAACCTACTGAATCCGCTACTTCTGTTACGTCATATGAGGAAAATGAACCTTTCACTTGTTGAAGTAGATATTTGGAAGGCCTCTGCTTTCTATGTGTTTATGAAATCGAATCATTTTTATTCACAAGGGTACAAATTTTCTATATTCCTGGATAGAAAAGAGAGTCAATATTCCTTTGTTAAAATATTCATTTCCTTTACTTTGCACAGTCATGAAAGCCTCCCCACTTCCCAGGGCACCAGGAGGAGTTTCTGTACCACCTAAAAACTTTCTCAAGAGGGACACTTTTCAGTAGTTTCAGTCAGGAATCAGCCTCCAGGATTCTTTCCCATTTCTTACCTATCCTTTAGAACCTACACAGGTCATGTCTGGGATTTCAGTTGAAGCCCTATTGCCTCTGGCTCACCTGGGTTCCTTCTTATTTTATTTTAAAATACACCATTTTGTTGTTGTTGTTGTTAGGTGCCACCGAGTCATAGATGACTCATAAAGATTCTATGAATGAAAGACCTGAGCACTGTTCATAGAGTTTCTGGAGGCAAGCCATTTCAGAAGTGGATGCTATTGCTGCTTCCAAGCTTGTTTTAATTGGGAAGCTCCACCAAACACTGTCTAACATGGGTAACCATTATCACATTTGGCACATCAGTGTCACAATGTTTAGCATCACAGAAACCATGGGTTCCCTCTGTACAGCAATGCACAGACCAGTGCTATACCACATAGAAGGATGTTTGACAAAAAACAATTTAAACCAGGCTTGAGGGCCGCAGATGAAAATCACCCACCTTGGGCTTGGTAATATAGCTTTCATATAGTATACATACAAAATATTATGGATAATACATTTGTATTTATGAAGGATGGTGATCGTGGATACATATTTACAATTCAATCCAGGAAATATGCTACCAATATTTGAAAGTTGCTTTATGTGATCCTTCATTTTGTAGGTTCATCCCTCCTTCCAGAAGAAGCCATTATTTTATTTTGCCCTGTTGTGTGTTAATTACTTCTTGCTTTTCTTCACCATATACCACACATATATGATTTATCATTTAATATTTGAATCCTGTGCTCCAGACATATTTCTACAACTTTTTCTGCTCAACCATATGTGAGATTTGTTTCTCTTACTGTGTACAGCTATAGTATTTTCCTTTTTTATTGCTTTCTATTATTTCATTATGTTTATTAATTGATCCATTCTCCTGACAATGAAAATTTAAGTTTTTTCCAGTTTTCTTTCTGTTTTATTCTTTTATCAATAATTACTCTAAGGTTTTTTAAAAAAAGATGTTACTTTGGTGGCTAAACTACATCTATCCCAAGCTATGCTATTTTTTAATTGCTTCAGTTGCATGTGAAATTGGATAATGAAAAAGGAAGACAAAGGAAGAATTGATGTGTTCAAACTGTGGTGTTGCTAAGGAACATTGACCATACACCTCGGACTACGCCATGCAGTGACCACGTCAGTCTTAGAATAAATACAGCCAGAATGCTTCTAAGAAGTCAGATTGGCAAGAATTTGACTCATTTCATTTGGACATCTCATTAAGAAAGGCCAATCACTAGAAAAGGCTATCAAATAGGTCACTGAAAATGACCATCGACAAATATCCTTAACAATTCACTCAAACACGCCAATCATCACAAAGATGGCACTGGACAAGTGAACGTTCTTTTGTTGTCTTTTTAATGTCATGTGTAACACCACCTTGAGTCAGAGCCAATTCAATGTCAGCTGGTAACAACAATCAATGTTCTCCACTGTGTACATGTAGGAGTTGAACTGTTGGACAACAGAGTATATATGTATTTAACTTTACTGGACAAATCCAAATTGTTTTCCAAAGTAACTTTTAATCTACACTGTTATTTCAGTATGGTTTTAATGTTTTCTTGATTTTATATTTTGCTCAAAATATACCCAGAAAAACTCATTCTCATTTTACACTTTATGGACATGATGATTGGTGGCATCAGTTATAATCTTCATTCACATTGTGCTAATATTCTTCTTCTGTCCGTTATGTTGGTTTCACTTCTATTTGCATAAACCTCTCTGTCCCCTAACATTCTCATTTATGCCTTAAAATAACTGTGAGCCTTTGTGACCTCCCTGTACACAGACACACACGTGCACACACACACACCTCAAGGGTGACAACATTTACTATTTGAGCTAAACTTTTACTTAGTTTAAAGGTTACTTCAAAAGATAATCTCAATTCAAGACTTAAATTGCAACTCAGGCCCATAGTCTGAGATTCTGCCAGTTTCAGTAAGTTCTGATAAGTCTGGATCCCTTAAAAATTTGTTATGCTTCATAATTGTCTCTATTTAAAGAAAGAAAGGAAAAAAACCTCTCATGTATTGTATTCCTGATAAGGATGGCCAGTAGTGGTAGTCAGGTACCATCTGCTGCATTCAAGGTGGAGGCAGTGGTTAATTGGTCTGATAGTTTAGTCCCATCAGATTCTTGGGTTCCTTTTTTGTTTCAGTAGAATAGCAATGAAGAATTTCTACCTTAGATGGCTACTTGTAACCTTTCAGGACTCTAGGTTTTACTCATCATACTGAGAGAACATAAGATTTAAGATTTATGACATCTTAATATTAATTTTTTTTTTTTGTCCTGGAGAGGGTGAAGTCGGAATGCTCCTTGGAGTCAAGGATTCTGAAGCTTCGTCTGACATACTTTGGGCATGTTGCAAGGAGGGACTGGTCCTTGGAGAGGGACATCATGTTTGGGAGAGTGGAGGGACGGCACAGGAGAGGAAGGCTCTCAATGAGATGGATCGATTCTGTGAGTGGAGTGGTGGGAATGAGTGTGTTTGAGATGACGAGGTTGGCACAGGATAGAATGGCATTTAGGGCTCTTGTACATAGGGCCACTATGAGTTGCAATCGACTCAATGGCACATAACAACAACAACAATATTAATTAACTGACTGTCCCACAAGACCATGACATAAGCCTTCAAACCAAGAGAACTAGTTTAATGAAGTGATTGGTTATGTAATTAGTATAATGTAGCCTCACCTTTTCTGGGTCAGAAAAAAATCATACATAACCTAGAATTTGTCCATTCATTCCTTTTCTTTAAGTGTAACTTATTGACATCAATTCTATCACATGCAAATTTCATACATTAGATGTCACCTTTCTAATTACTATAAACAGAAAGTGACTAGAGATTTTGTTTTCTTAACCTTCATTACTAGGAACCAATAATGAACATTGCTGTTGTTGGGTACTATTGAGTCAGAACCACCCACAGTTGATACTCCAGTGGGTTTTCAAATATAGTAAATAAAAAGGATGGAGATTTCCCATCTTTCTCTTGCAGAGCAGCTGGTGGGTTTGAACCATGTATCTCGGGGTTGAGCTCCCCAATTAAAATTAGTCTCTGATTATTTACGTAGTCATGTCACATTGTAAAATTAAGAACATGCAATATTTTTTCTTTTGTGTTTGATTTCTTTCATTCAACATAATATCATTTATGTATGGTCTTAATTTTAGAATTATTAATGAGACTGAGCATGTTTACCATATATGAAATGCTTATTTATGGGGCTTTTTTTGTCTTAAAAGGAAAAAATCCCACCTGGTTTGTCTTTTTTAAATTTATTTGTAAGGGCTCTTAATATATTTGAGATACTAGTCATATTTGGTACTAAATCTTCCCAGCTTGTGCTTCATCTTCTTATTCTCTTTTCCAAATCTCCTGATTAATGTTGCTTTTAGGTGCTCTCAAATTGACTATGACTCACATATCAACCCAAAGAACAACAGATCAGAACCCTTCCTTATCTTGCACCATTCTCACAATCTCCTTCGTGCTCAAGTCCACTGTCATGATCAGTGTGTCAAGCCTTCTCACTGAAGGTTTTCCTCTCTTTGATTACCCTCTACTTTTCCCAGCAAGATGTCTTTTTCCAAGGACACATGACCAAAGTATGTGACACAAGAACTTCACGATGCCAGTCTCTAAGAAGCACTCTAGCTGTACTGACTCCATAAGATCTGTTTGTTCTTTTAGTAGTCCGTGGTATATTCATGCCATTACCACAATTCAAAAGCATCAATACTTCGTCCACCATTCTTTCTCATTAACCAACTCTCAGATACATAGGAAGCAACTGAAAATGTCATGGCTTAGGTTAGATGTATTTTAGTCTTTAAACTGACAAACCTGTCTTCTATCACTGGATAAATGATGTATACTGCATTGAAGCTGATGAGAGAGAGAACAGTTTAAAAGTAATATATTTTAGGGCATTATGATTATCCTAAGAGTTCGGAATGAGGGTTGCAGAGTGGAGTATACTCAGGATGGGGGTGAAGGGGTGTGGGGGGATTGTCTACCAATGAAGGAGTTTTTCTTTTGCCTTTCAAGGAGAAAAGTGAACTGGGGCGGGGGGTGGCATGGGCGGGGAGAAAAGTGCAACAATGAATGAATGGAAATCCAAAATCTTT